GGAGACCACTTCAGGATTTGGGGTTTGCGACAGTCACAAGGGTTAAATGTGAGCATGTAACCGCTGTTGGGCAGGAGATTGTGAAGGAGAGTATTTTGAGTGGCAGAGGGTTAGCAATCACCAGGTAAGTATGAGCATGTTAATCATAGTGAGTAGAGAATGATAATTTTTGGGTTTGACATGCTATTGGATGTTAAACAAGGTAACAGTAAAATTAAACCTTTAACTGTCAGACCTTGATCAACAACATTCCCCCCCCTAGTGCTCTAAACATATTTGAATATTTATTGTTTTAAAAAAAAAATTTTCCATGTATTACTGAGCTATAAGGGGCAAAAGTTGGCGCTAGATGCTCACGGTGACATCAACACGGAGTACCTGCCGGTGCAGAGATATGTGCAGGTACAGTGGATCCCCATGAATTTGTGCTTCAATTAATCGCAAATTTTCCCTTAGAACCTAATTGTACAGAGGAAATCCCTGCAAATCTGCAAATTTTGTGGGGGCATTATTTCATGGCAATATAAATTTTTTATGCACATTAATGCTAGATATTAAGAAAATATAGAGCGAATGGAGCGAAACAGATGACTTTCAAGAGTGTATCAGTGCTGTAGTGGAAGGAAGGGGGGGTGGGGGTCGGCCTAGGAAGGTTTGGAGGAGGGGGAAAAGGGGAGGTTTTGTGTGCGGGGGGGCTTGGCTTCCGCAGGCATCGTGAGCGTGTTTGATAGGTAATGGAACAAAGGGGTTTTTAAATACTTGCGTGTGTGGAGTGTGAAAAAGAACATTTATAAGGGGTTTCGGGGAAACCGCAGGGCCCGGGTTGAGTCCTGGAATGGGAAGTAAGTGCCTGCATCGAAGGAGGGGTGTTAAAGTTCAGTTTAAAAACTGAGTGTAAAGCACCCCCTTTTGGCAAAACATAGAGGAATGATGGTGGGGAAAATTTTTTTTTTTTCGGGCCACCCTGCCTTGGTGGAATCCCGGCCGTGGATAATAAAAAAAAAAAAAAAATAAAATAATTTTGTAATGTAAATAATAACGTAAATCAGCAAAATTTCCCATATACTGGTGAGCACCTGTACATTTAACTTTAATTTTACAAAATTAAATTATTAACCAATGTATAACCAAGGAGAACAGAGTTTTCATGAATTACAGTATAACCAACGAATTACAGTACAATCTGGGTAACATCAGTATTTTACATTCTAGTCCTGCGGGAGACTTAGCAGTACAGTACATGTACTTATAGGGTTTAATCTTTGACATTTTTATATTTTAATGGTGATGTAAGAATCCGAATTTGAAATTAAATTAAAGTAGTGTTTGGAGTATATATTAGGGTTTAAAACTATAAAAATAGGCATTTAAGCATTTTTTAACCGCGCCAGAAATTGCGGTTTTTTTTCAAATTCGCAAGGGGTCTTGGAATGTAACCCCCATGAATTGGGGGTACTACTGTCCAGGGCCCCCCGGATTAAACGATTTAATCGTGCAAAGGGCTCATCGGATATGCAAATAATCTTTAGGCGGGCGAATGAATTTACCCCCCATAAGAAATAAAGGAAATAAAATTACTCCTGCACGACACCCAAAAGTATGAAAACAATTTTTTTTTTACCACATGAAATGTTAATTTAATACACACAGAACTGAAAAAGGCATGCACAATTAAAGGTGGGGGCGGGCGGGCGGGTTATGTATGTATGAGGGAGAGTGATACTTGTTGTAAGGCTAGGGATTAGTGATAATATATGCGTGGATCATTGGATATGGAGGATGGGGAAGAGAGTGTGTTAGTGTTAGGGTGCAAGTGGTAGATGAATCCCCGTTCATAGAGCAGAGGCGCTTGTAGTGGTAGGGGTGAGGAGGGGGGGGGGGGGGGGTGGTTGGTGCCTTTTCTTTGGTTACTTCCGGTCCTTCAGGGGCTTTTATATACATTAATGCCACTTTGGGTGTGTGTGTAGGGCCACTTTCAGAGTCACTGATGGGGTACGTATTGGGGATCTGTAGCGCACAAGTAGAATCTGGTCTGGCGGCTAGAGGCCTGTAGTCCTCTCGTTCCTTATGACTTCCTAAAGTGTTTCACAACATTGTCGTGTAATAATTCCAGACCACACGGCTTTGCAATAGCTGGTGATGGTGATTTTCATCCATGAAGGTTTGCACTTCAAGCCACTTAGCACAGAATTCCTTTATCATTGTATAGGGCAACTTCTCAATTTCTCTTCCCCCTCCTCTGAACCAGTTTTCCTCAGGTCTGGCCTCTTGCTCTTGAAAGTTGATCTATCACTCATCAGTGTTAGTTCTTCATTGTCCTCCTCCACCAACTCCTCCACATCCTCCCCACTAACCTCCAACCCCAAGACTTTCCCAATGCACAATGGAATCCTCAACTGGCACAGGATTCTCCGGGATAGCTCAAACCCATCAAGAACCCTTTGTCCTACAACTTTCTGCCACAGTTTTTCTTCCAACAGAGTTCAAGTCCCTTAGTCCATCTTCCTCCCAAGCCTTACCTCAAGTTTACACAATTGAGGATATTAAAAGTGATCTCTCCAAAACTCTCTTAGAGTCAGTTGAGTTTCTTGAGGTTCATTACAAGCACCTTTCAAACAGAGCTTTTGTGTACAGTTTTCTTGAGTGTTGGAAATAACCTGCTGGTCCATGGGCTGCAGGAAGAAGGAGATGGTATTAGGAGGCAAAAACTTCACCTTAATGAACTCATGTCCCTAAAGTCGCTCTGGCCACGTCCTGTAGGATGACCAGGCATTGTCTAAACACCAGGAGGCTCTAGGTTCTAATTTGCTTTTCAGTTAGGTATTTTTCACATTGGGGCAAGATGCATGTGTAACCAGTTATTAGAATAAATCCCTAGTGACCCATGCCTTATACTGTTTGCCCTCCACAGCACCACAAATTATCGCATGAGGCATTCTTTTGCCTGAAACGCTCTGGGAGTTTTCATAGTGAAACACTAAAAAGGCTTTCACTTTGCCAATCACCATAGCATTGGCACACATCAACAAGTAAGCTGTCTTTCATAGGCTTATGTCCTGGGAGTGCCTGTTTCCTCCTGGAGTAATGTAGGTCCTGCTTGGCATTTTCTTCCAGAACAGGAGGCCTGTTTCTATCACAATTAAACACTTGTTTCAGGTTTCAGTCCTTCATTTTCTATGTACTTCCTTGAATTTCTTGCACATATTTTTCAGAGCCGGCTTTGTAAGGTCCCGAACTGGCAGCCTCACCAATGCTTATCCACACACTGGATGCCACTACGCTTCTTAAATCTCTCAAACCACCTTTGCTGGCCTTAAATTCACTCACCATCATAGTTGCAGATTTTTTTATAATCCTCATGCAATTCCTAGCCTTTTCACATTTTGATCGCTTGAGAGATGCTTTTCCCTGCTATTTTTTTCATTTATCCCACCAATAAGATTCTCAACATTTTCCCAATCACTTGCGATTTTTTTCGAAAACACAGTTAAACCCTTTTGGGCAAGAACAGCTTCTTGATTGTTTTTGGTGCCCACAATATACGATGGTTTGATTGGGGTATCTTTGTACACTTGACTAGGTCGGCTATACCACTCCACTTTCATACTTATCATTATCTTTTCTTCATCTCTAGTAATTTTTAAACCCTTTGAGGTGTAGGTTGCATAGAAGCTTTCTTGGGCCCAGGGACTTATTTTCCAGAAACAGCACCAAAAATACTGTAATAATACGAAATTTTCCGAGTGTATTGTTTTGAGTTACCGCGGAGGCTGGCTGGTAAACAATGGACGGGGGGCCCAAAAATGTGATGTCTGAGGGCACATTGGACGCGTTCGGACAAACGGTAAGCGGGTTTTTAATGGGTTTGCGCGGAAAAAATTTCATAAAAGTAATCGTTTATGGAAAAAATCGCTATGTGATGCCATCGTTATGCGGGGGTCCACTGTATACCTTTTTTTTTTTTTTTTTTTAAATTTTTGTAGTTTTTATGTTCTGAGCATTGCAATTTAAAGTTGAACTTGTGATTTCATAGCCAATTGTTGTTCTGACACAAATACATATTAGGTATGGAAATAGTAATCAAACAGTCACAAACACGCATTTAAATGCTAACAAGTGAAAAATACTAATTTTCTGCAAAGGCTTTTAGAAGTGCTGGAGTGTATGAAACTCCTTGAAGCACACTGTCAGAAAGAGTGGCACCCCACATTGCTGATGGTGCACTGTACCATCAGCACTGCCCCAGTGAACCTTGGCATATGGTTTTCATTTGTTCTCACTGTTTGACACACATCGGTACTGTTCACATGGAGGAAATCAGTGAGCATAGGGATGTATACCAGTTGTCAGTGAACATTGTATGGTCTTTGCCAAAGTAGGCACTGAATCTGTTGGAAGATTCAGGTACTGATGTAGTAGTCTGTAGACCAGTAAATGTGCTTTTACTGTGCTTGTAAATATGAGGCATAAGCATGACTGTGGCATAGATAGATACACTTTAGCCACAAAAAAATTTTATACCAAAAAATTATGTCTGCTTGGTATATATTAACCCTTGAAAAAGGAATCAAGTACTCTGTAGACCAGTATTGTGCTATACTGTGCTTGTAGGTATGAGGCATAAGCATGACTGTGGCTCATCACAGTACAGTTGAAAGTACAGTAGGACCCCTGTATTTGCAGGTTCAGTTCCAGATTTCAGTTATCCACAGTTTACCATGGCCTGAAAATAACCCTTAATTTTGCTTTTAAATGATGTAAAAGTGCAAAAGTAATGGTGGCAGTTCTTCAACAGCCTAAGAGAAGCGTGAAGTGCTTTCCATCATGAAAAAAATGCTAATTCTCCACTTATTGTGCATAATTTATCAATTAAACTTTATCAATAGGTATGTATGTAAATGAAAAATGACTTATATATGGGGTTCACTACTCTCCGCAGTTTCGGGTACCCATGTATCTAATCTCTCTCTCCCGGAGGTGGAGATATACATATATACATATATTTTTTTTTTCAACAAGTCGGCCGTCTCCCACCGAGGCAGGGTGACCCAAAAAAGAAAGAAAATCCCCAAAAAGAAAATACTTTCATCATCATTCAACACTTTCACCTCACTCACACATAATCACTGTTTTTGAAGAGGTGCTCAGAACACAACAGTTTAGAAGCATATACATATAAAGATACACAACATATCCCTCCAAACTGCTAATATCCCGAAACCCCTCCTTTAGAGTGCAGGCATTGTACTTCCAGGACTCAAACCCGGCTATATAAAAATAACCGGTTTCCCTGAATCCCTTCACTAAATATTACCCTGCTCACACTCCAACAGATCGTCAGGTCCCAAATACCATTCATCTCCATTCACTCCTATTGAACACGCTCATGCACGCCTGCTGGAAGTCCAAGCCCCTCGCCCATAAAACCTCCCTTACCCCTTCCTTCCAACCTTTTTGAGACGACCCCTACCCCATCTTCCTTCTCCTACCAATTTAAATGCTCTCCATGTCATTCTACTTTGATCCATTCTCTCTACATGAGCAAACCACCTCAACAACCCATCTTCAGCCCTCTCCCTAATACTTTTATTAACTCCACACCTTCTCTTAATTTACACACTCCGAATTTTCTGCATAATATTTACACCACACATTGCCCTTAGACAGGACATCTCCACTGCCTCCAACCGTCTCCTCGCTGCTGCATTCACAACCCAAGCTTCACACCCATATAAGAGAGTTGGTACTACTATACATTCATACATTCCCTTCTTTGCCTCCATAGATAACGTTTTTTGACTCCACATATACCTCAACGCACCACTCACCTTTTTTCCCTCAATTCTATGATTAACCTCATCCTTCATAAATCCATCCGCCGACACGTCAACTCCCAAGTATCTGAAAACATTCACTTCTTCCATACTCCTCCTTCCCAATCTGATATCCAATTTTTCTTTATCTAAATCATTTGATACCCTCATCACCTTACTCTTTTCTATGTTCACTTTCAACTTTCTACCTTTACACACACTCCCAAACTCATCCACTAACTTTTGCAATTTTTCTTTAGAATCTCCATAAACACAGTGTCATAACAAAAAGTAACGGTAAATTTCCCCATTTTGTTTTTTGTTTCCCCCATAATTTAAATCCCACCCCTCTCCCGAACACCCGTTTTACTTCTTTACAGCCCCACTATAAATATATTAAACAACCACCTTGTCATCCACAATTTACTTTCTTTCTTACCTTTTAATTTTTTCAATAATAACCCTACGTACACTTTTTCTTAAATCAGTAACTTATCCCTTTTTAAAATTTTTATAGTCTCTTTTGTCCCCTTCCCTTTATATAAGGGACTTTACACCTCTCCCCAATCCCTGGGTCCTTTCCCCTTTTCATACATTAAACAAAAAACCAACTATGTCCCCCCCCCCCCACTTTAAACTTTCTGTCATGACCCGTCATTTTTCCCGTGTTTAAAACCCCCTTTCTTTTACGTAATGCCTCCGCACCTCCCACCCTCCATCCTGCTCTTTTCTTTCCCTAAAAGATGGTATACCCCCCTCCCGTGCTGAAACCGCCCCCCTTTCTTCGTCGACATTTAAAAGTTCCTCAAAAATTCCCCATCTACCCAAACCTCCATCTCCCCTCTACAAACCCCCCTACCTGTTTTTAAGTGACAAATCCATTTTTCCCTAGGCTTTCTTAACTTGTTTAAATCTTTCCCAAAAAATTTGTCTTATTTTCTTTAAAATTTTTGAAGTACCTCTCCCACTCTATCATCCGCTTTTCCTTTTTGAATCTCCACCACTCTTTCCCCTTTTTCTTTTACTCTCCTATACTCTGCTCTTTTTATAACACTTCTACTTTGTAAATACCTCTCATAAGTACCTTTTTTCTTTTATCACACCCTTTACTTCATATTCCACCATCACTCCTCTTTCCCCTCCCCCCTTCCTTAACCAAAAATTCTCCCCCACATTCAATACGCATTTTTAAAACTTTTCCCAACCCTTTTCCCCCCCCCCACTACTCTCCCTCCCCACCCCCCTTTTTTGCCAATATTTGCTTATTTTTCACCCGAACTTCCTCCTCCTTAGTTTTATACACTTTGCCCCCTCTTACTGTTTGTTGCCTTTTTTCCCTTTATCCCATCTCCTCTTAAAAAAATCAAAGAAAACTCAGATGATGTGTATAAATAAGCATGTAAGTGCCCTAAGTAAAGTGAATAGCAAGACATCCCTGAAATTTTGCATATTTATGAGTCAGACAAAGAACCGCAATCCTACCTTTATGTAAATCAATTACAGGCTTTTGTTTTCACTCATTTGGGCAAATGGTAGTACCACCCTGGGTGGATGCTGTCTACCAACATATTAGAGTTCTCAGGGGAAAGGGGGAACAGGATTTTTCCCCCAAAAAAACCATAGGTCGAAGGGATTAAAATGCCGAAGCAAGGTAGAAACCCCTTTTCTCCTGTTACAAACTAAAGTTTAAAAAGAAAACTTTTGTTTTTCTTTTTGGGGCCAACCGTTTCAGTGGGATAGGCTGGTTTTTGAAAGAAGAAGAATAATATTAAGCATTTCCCAACCGTACTCTGAAAAGCCACTATGAACCTGCTTGCAACAAGATGAAAAATACCACATTTTGCAGAATCATTCTCTCTCTTTCTTGACTAACTCGGGGGATTTTGTGGGATAGGCATTCTGGCAAAAGCCCAACAATGGCATAAAAACGAAAGGATGGGCACAAATGTTGCACATGGGTTTTAAATGAGGTTTTTGATACCATGTTCGCTTGCAGCCACATCCAGTTAAACCCTTTTAAACTGGGGATCAAAATCACTTTCCTCAAAAGGAGTGTTTAATAAGACATGGCATTAAAAATCCGGGGGTATGCCAGCCTTGTTATTTGGGAGCTAAATTGAACGGGTGCTCCCCCAAGGTATTGGGGCCCGAATTTTTAATACGGACACATCAAGTGGCAGACTCTTTCTATGCGCCTGGGTTAAAAGGGCCTTGGTGCCAAATTTGAATGGGGAAAAAAAATAGTGCACTGATAAATTTTTTTGGGGAGTGCTACAAAAATACATGGATAAAAGGTCTGATTTTAAAAGGTTTAAGGGGATTCAGGAAAATTTGGGTTAGCCAATCAGTTTAAAAGGTGGGAAATACAATGCCGCACTTTGAAAAGGGGTGGGGATGCTGCTGCTCAGAGATCAGTAAAATTATATATCCAAAAATTACCAAACATGCTACAAATAAAAGTGGTGAATAGTTTTTAAAATTTGGGTTGCCCTCCCTTTGGGGGAAATGGCTAATTAGTAAAAAAAATGTTATTTGTGTATAAAAAAAATTTGGGCGTAATATTAAGAAGAAAAATTTTTTAAAAATTTGACAAAATTCACACGGGCAAAAGACAGAATTATCTACTGTCAAAACTTTTTCATAACAATAGCTTTGTTTATATAAAATTTTAATTAATTAAAGCAAAACCTAATTGTTGTAAATTATTTGCATTTTTAAAAAATAATTTTATTTTTTTAAAAAATTTTATTTTCAAAATGTTAAAAAAATTTGTTGAAGTTTTGCATACATTTGGAAAAGTCTCTGGTTATTAAAACCCTTCTGGCAGATACAACAAACTTAAAATTTTTGGGATGTTATTAGTAAAAGTTAGATTTGAATGCTTTTTAAATTAATTAAGCTCCCCTGAAGAAAAATTATTTTACATAGTCATAAAAAATTTTAAGTAGCAGATTATTATAATAAAAAAAAAGCGCTAAGCCCTTTTAAGTAGCAAATTCTAAATTTTAAAACAAAAATTTTAAAATTAAAGATATAGAAATACAAAACTGTTTTGACAATTTTGGTTATAACAATTATTTTACGGGGTGTAAAACAGTGTTCACAATAAGGCATAAAAAAAAATGCGTTTGGGAATCAGATAAGCGGGATACATTTGACAGATTTTTGATTTTTGTAAATTTACATCAAATTCAGATGATTTTTTTCAAAATATATTTGAAAAAAAATTTTTATTTGATGGAATTTCTACTTGGTTTAAAAACGAACATGTGGGAAACTAAAATATTTCTTCTTGAATTATACTATGCATTCTTTACAGCTTTCCAAGAAAGATTTAGCTTTGGGTTTAAATATTTGTATTGACGTTTCGTATACAGTACCCCACAGCAGCGAGAGGGCTATTTTATATTTTGAGTAATTTAAATTCTGAATAAGGGAGGGTGGGTGAAACATATTTTTATTAAAATAAAGATTTTGGTTAATTTTCAAGATTTTATGTGATTTGCTATTGCGATCCTTATATACATTCATCACACTTCAAAAAACTCCAGATTGCAATCCTCCCCTATCCTTTACAGTGCATACAAGTTTTCATTTTTAAAAGTTCAAAAATATGAATCAAATACCATACAAAACTACAACTGCTTTTTTTAAAATTTTAACCTTTTGTTTCTTGTTTTTAATTATTCCCGTATTGAAAATTAAAAAACATTTCCACAAATTTCGCGAAGTCGCTTTTGTGGGCCCAAGCTGTACCCGCGTGAAGGGAAAAATTATTAACTATGTTTTTGTATATCCCTGCTTCCAACTTTTTAAAATGAAATTTGGTATTAAATGAGCCACATCTGGCAAAAATTGTCACAGATTAAAACAATGAAAAAAATACATAAAGAAAAAAAAAGGAAGAATCTCTTCCGGCTGCAACTTAAGTACTTCTATTTTGGCCCCAAAAAAGAAGCTTTTTCTAAATAAAAAATTTGAGAATTGTAGGGGGTTTTAAACTCTTATTGGATTCCCCTTTTCTGTAAAATATAAAAATTTTTTATCACTAAAATATTTTTACAGCACAGTATAAGTAAGGTTTTTTTAATTTTCTTAAAAACCAAGAAAATTTTAACATAACCTGTCCATTATACTTAAAATATTTAAAAACTAATTAGAGATGCAACCTTTTTTGAAATTTTTGAAAAATCAAAGAAGGCCTAAAAGTAATTGGCCAATTATCTTTGTGACCCACTTTGTTTTTTTAGGACAGGTTAGTTGATAAAT